CAAGCCTCCACTGACAGGGTGGGTGCACTTGGGGTGCACGGGCCGGGAACGGAACCCAGGCCTCTTGCATCGAAGGCAAGAAATCTGCTCCACAGACACACTGGCGTTAAATGAATGAGTGCACCTTTGAGGGTGGACACCGAGAGGTGGTTTCTTGCCAGCATTCATTCGTTCAGCAAAGACCTCCTGAGAACTGTGGGTGTGTGAAAAATACTGGATGCCGGACACAGGGAGCCCAGGGACTCGGGGACATGGCTCCTGGGTCTGAGGGAGGGGTGGGAGGATTCTGGAAGCAGAGAGAAGTACAGAGGCTGATGGGTCTGGCAGAGGGCTCCTGGAGGAGCCTGACTGGGAAGGATGAGTGGCCTTGTCAGGGTGGGAACAGGAAGGTACCAGGCTGCACCTGTCTGAAGAGGTGCCTGGCATGGAATTCCTCAGCTGGCAGGCAAGTTCTGAGCGTGGGATGGGGTTCTTGGGACAGAGTCTATCTTGAGGATGGACTTAGTAGATGAAGGTGTAGCAACAGAACAACATTAGTAAGAGTGGTCATTCTCAGATCCCAGGGGTTTGGCCTCTCTTTGAGCTGGGTCTACGATGAAAACCCCAGAATGCCAGGTACCTCTCAACATGGGCTAGACAGGTACACAGGCTGTGGGGGACCTGGAGGGGGGCACAGGGACTTCAGGGTTTTACTGTGGGCGAGGCACCCTACCAGTGAACTAGAAGCCATCTGTTCCAGCCCATGGCTGCCTGTGTATGTGTGTTTTTCAGAACATCTGTAGGCTTCCCTTCCAAGGGCCTCTGGAGAGGGCACCAGGGAGCCCAGAGCCTTATCGGGTCCCAGGGGAGCCCCTCAGAGGATGGCTTAAAAAAAAACACCCAGAAAAAAAGATTAAAATGATAACTCTTTGTGACATATATTTTTACCACCCAAACCAAACCAAAACAACATGAAGGAAAGGTTGTGGCTCAGTGTGTTCATCATTAGTGACCCCACCTCCCTAGCCAGTGGGTCTCGTTGGTAGGATCCCAGGAAGCTGGCTGGTTCATGGTCCTTGGAGACCAGCAGCCAGCACCCCCACCCGGTCTCCATCTCGAAGGCAGTGTATGAACGAGGCCCGGCTGCCTGCTGTGGGGGGCCTGCGGGAGTGAGAATCTCCTCCCCTGAAGGGTGAGTCCACCGGGTCAGTGTGATCACGCCACTGGGTGGCTGCGTTTCGGCTCTGGAAGCAGGTGCTAGTTGTTTGTGTGTGCTCGCCCGTCCCTGATGCCCCCCTGCACACCCATGTGCCTGCCTTCTCGCCCAGGTGTCAGCATAGCTGCCTGTGCACACGCACACCAGTGTGCGCCTCCGCTCCTGGAGGTGGGGCCCCAGCAGACAGCAGGCTGCCCAGTTTGGGAACGTGGGTTCACTTTGCTTCTCACTGGGCTTGGGGTGGAGGGGGCGAAACAGGAAGGAGCCGTTTTCCGCCCACAAGGCCCACACTGGAGCCGCAGGGCAGTTGGGAGCTTGCTTTTGAGGCCTGTGCAGGGTCCCCGGGTGAGCTGGGGCCTCCCCGGAGCTGCGGTGCCAGAGCAGCAGGTGCCAGCTTCCTGGGCTCCTTAGAGGCCACCCAGACCCCTAGGGGCTCACAGGGTTTTCCTTGCTGAGCTTAACCAGGCAGCTTCCAAAAAGACAACAACCTGCCCACAACTGGCTATCAGCCGGGCGTTGTGGGAACGTGTAAGCCAGAGCAGGTGCGAACGACCCAGCTAGCTCGCTGCCCTGCTGGAGAGCGGTGGCCTGGGGTCCTCTTTGTTCAATGGCAGGGGTGCGTTGTGAATTTACTTGGCACATCTAAATGCGTATGAAATCAGGCCGGAGACCAAGGATATTCATTTAAGGCACCCACATCAATCCAGCAGGTTCATCGTACCTTCAATCAGTCTCTGGTTTCTAACCTTTCCTTCATCTACTTAGTGTTGTTCTGGTTTGGTTTGGGGGTTGGGTGGTAAAACTATATGTATGTCACAAAGAGTTATCATGTTAACCTTTTTTCTGTGTTGTGTTTTTTGAAGCCGTCCTCTGAGGGCTCCCCTGGGACCCGATAAGGCTCTGGCTCCCTGGTGCCCTCTCTGGGAGCAGAGGCCCCTCCCTGAGGGGCAGGCTTGTTTGCTTGCTTTTCTTCCTTCTCCTGCCTGCTCTTCCCCCTGGACACCCCAATCCCTGGGCCAACACCCCCCACCCCACCCCGGGCAGTGTGTACGTGTGTGTGCCCACGGGCTTGCCTGCCTACCTGCCAACAGGTGGAGAAGAAGGCAACAGTGGGGGCTCCCAATACAGACACTTCTCTTCCCCAAATTCTAACCTGACGAGAGTAATACTAGTGTGTGTCACATTTTAATGCACCTACATGTTCCCCTCAAAACCCCACCGGACTTATGTGACCAAGACCTGGCTTGTAGACCAGTGCTCACGAGTTTATATGTAAAACAGAACAAAAGTTGAAGGAACAATTCTTGCATTTGACTATTTTATTTTTTATCTAGCCCCCCCCGCCCCATACCCTTCATTTTCCTGTAATATTGGTTCTTTGTCGAAGCCCATCATGTTTTGTGACCTGTAGGTTGCAAACACTGAGAAGAGTGTGTTGGGGCCTTCCTCCTTCTCCTCGTTTTACAGATGAGGAGACTGAGGGCCTTGGGCGAGTGAGTACCTGCTTCAAACCTCAAACAAGATGAAGCTGGGTGGCTCTGGGACTCCGGGGCAGGATCAGGCCAGAAAGCCCCTCAGTCCTTATGCGTAGAAGGTGCACGCTTGACTTGGCAAAGCTGGCCTCACAGGGGTTTCTGCAGGGTCCAGGGAAGCAGGAAGCAGGAGGAGCTGGGCTGTCCCATTCATCCGTCTACCCTTTCGCTCATTGGTCCCCACAGACTGGCTAGAGACACAGCGCAGCCTTATCAAAAGCTTGATTACAATGGTGGTGCATGCAATGAGTAACATTTAACAGCCAGTGTTAGGGGACATGGGAGAGTGAGCTTGACACTGGGAGGTCTGACAGGGCTGCCAAGATGGCTTGTGAGCAGAGATTGGAAGAAAGAGGAGGCAAGCAGAGGGCATCCTGGGTCAGGGAAGTTGGGCCCCTAATGGGCCCTGCTTTCCATTCTACATGGACCTTCGCCAGAGCCAAGGGCTCACCTGGGAGGATAAGGAGATTCCCTCAGCTTCCCTCTGCCTGCCCAACACCCAGGGCCCCACCTCCCGCAGGAGCCTCTGACCTCTAGGCAGGGGTGCCATCCCCGCACTCCAGCTTCCACCATTTTCACCCCGAGTCATCTTGGCTTCCAGGGCCTCCACCAGGGTGGAAATCCTCCTGGAAACATGCACATCAGAGCTGAACTGTGCTGCCGAGGGCTTTTGCAGTGCCTTCACCTTTTGGAAAAAGTACATTGCTTTTCTTCCAAAGCACCTTAAACCACCAACCTTTCAGTAGCAGCTGAGCACGTTCACCATTGCCATCCCAGGAGCTCCACAACAATGGATGGGAAGCCACTAGTCTGTTTACTGTGTGCATGGCAAGGCGTGGGCCTAAGTCTAACTCTCCCCCTCTGGTGTTTGGAGGCTCCTTGACGAAACGCATCCTGCTGGGCTAAGTGAAGGACGAGGGAGACATGGGGAGGATTGCAGGGGGAGGTGAATATGTTCAAGGAGAGACGGGCACCAAATCAGAAAGGCCAGGGAAGGTGGAGTGAAGTAGTGGGATAATCCTCCTTGATGTGAGTTTGCGATCTGCCTTTAAACACTGGGAGTCATTGAAGGTCTTTCGTTGTGTAATGTATTTTTGGTGTATGGGTGGGGGGGCGCAGCATGCAGGGGAGATATGGGACAAGTGTGCACCCATGAGGTTGGATGGGGGCAAGGAGGTAGAGCAGCAGGAACCACTGCATTCCAAAGGACATATCATCTGGGCCCAGAGAGGGCCCTGGAGGAAGGTGGACGAGTGGCAAGCCCACTCAGACCCTCCAGCCTGTACAGAGAGTGAACCAGGCAGTCTCACAGGAAAGCCAGCCAGCCATGGTGGGCAGACCTCTTACTGAAGAAACATGTGGATTCCGAGCAGGGAAGGTGGAGGACCCAGACAGGACATCTGAAGCTGAAGTGAGATAGTGATGTGTGGTGGCTGTCTTCCCTGGTCTGCACTGGACACCATGCTGAGGCTGGGGTTCCAGCCCTGCCTGGGACAGGAGTCACCTGGGACTGGCTAGGAGCTGCTGCAGGGGGGCGGGAGAGTGCCTCTGTCTGAGCCCTGCAGCCCCTGAGGACCCCTCTGTCTCCCTCCGCAGTGATGGGTCGTTCCCCTATGACTCTGTCCCTTGGCAGCAGAACACCAGCCAACCTCCTGGCTCCCTCTCTGTGGTCACCACAGTTTGGGGAGTGACCAATACATCCCAGAGCCAGGTAAGAGCTGCCCTGCCCCAACCCCAGCCCCTTCCAGGTGGGAGTCTCCCTGGGTCCATTGGGCCCTTGGGTCGCCATGCCAAGCCAAGCCTCCTCGCTTTCACAGGCTCTGCCTAGCTGGAAAGACCAGCTTCCAAGGCACACCCAACTGGGTCCACACCCACCACTGGAGGGCAGCAGCTGGACCCCTGGGATGGTTCCTAGCCTGGGCCCCTTTGAGGCAGTGGCTTTCCCCTGCAAACAGCTGGAGGTTCTGCCTCAGCTGCACACAGTAGGACTTTCTGAGGGACTGGCTTCAGAGCTCCAGTCTGGCATCTGTGGCCAATGGCTTGGGTTAGATTTCACAAAGGCTATGCCTTATGTGTGTGACCAAAAACCCCTAGGCACCCCTTCTTGCTCCCATCATCTCCTGCCCCTTCCCCTCCACTCCTTCATTTGTCCCAATGCAGGGGCTCCCCCTGCCAAGCCCTTCACGTAGAAGACTCAGGACTGATGACCTCCCTGCAGGAAGCTGGGGCTTCCCTGTGGTCTCGGGCCGGGGGTAGCCTCTCAGCCAGAATCCTGCCACCCCCAGAACTGGCTAGTTGGGCTTCTCTTTGCCCCCACAGAACAGCAGCTAGGGCTTCTCTGTAACCCTAGCCCAGTCCCAAGTACCCACACCCTTTTGGGGGATGGGAGGGCTCTTCCCCCACCTATTGCCTGGTGAGAACCAGCCACCTCTGCTCAGCTTCCGCTCCCTTTACTCAAGTTTCCTGGCTTCTGATGACCACATAGACTGGCTCTGTGGCTCTCAATCAAACCTTCACCAGCATCCCATTGCAGGCGGAAGTCCCTCCCCGTGAACTGCCAGGAGCCCAGGTTTCTTATCCCCTGTAGGTCACGCCCCAGTCCCTAGCTTTCTCCTCCTCTTCCTCAGTTTCCCTCCTTCTACTTCCCTCTCTCCCCCCTAGCCCATTCCACCCTCCTCCCACCCTTCCTGGGACTCTATCACAAACAACGTTCACTTTCTGTCCGTAGGTCCTCGGGAACCCCATGGCCAATGCCAACAACCCCATGAATCCAGGCGGCAACCCCATGGCATCGGGCATGACCTCCAGTAATCCAGGCCTCAGCTCCCCGCAGTTTGCCGGGCAGCAGCAACAGTTCTCAGCCAAGGCCGGCCCCGCCCAGCCCTATCTCCAGCAGGGCATGTATGGACGGCCCAACTATCCTGGCAGCGGGGGCTTCGGGGCCAGGTGAGCAGGGTGGCGGCCTTCAGAAGTAAAGCATCAGCCCTACCCTGCTTCTCTCTTCTTCCTGTCCGTTTAAACCCCAGCCCCTGCTTCCTGGAGGGCAGCCAGGGGCAAGCCCTGCTGCCTCTCTTGCCCTTGCTTGGCCTGAGTTGCGGCAGCAGCTGGGCTGTGTTCTGACCATTGGAATAAAGGGCCACTGTGCTCCTTGCCCAGAAGCACTCCTCCGAGCCAAACAGCTTCATAGGAGGCCTTGGCAAGCCTGGGCAGCTAAGTGGGGGTTCAGTTGCCCAGAGTTAGGTAGCCTAGAACTTAACCAACCCTTCCTCTGGTGGTGCAGGCAGGGTTGGCAAGGACTGAGAGCTCCTGGGGTCATGAGGATAAGAGGAAGGGACCAGCACCCTCAGAAAGAGGGTCAGACACAGAAATCTGAAGCTCCTGGGTCCCTCGTCTGACTGTAGCCCTAGGCTGGCAGACCAGGATAGCTGGGTGGCTAAACACACAGGCTGCTGGTGTCGCATGGGCCATAGCCCCCACTGCAGTTCCACGGTCCTCCACTGGAGACTTTAGCATGCTGCTGGGGTCCTGTGAGCCTCGGTATTCCCTTCCGGAAGGTGGATTGCCTGGTATTCATGAAGATGCAGCAAGCTAGTGTTCAGGGGGTGCACCCTGCCTTGCCCCCGGGTGAGCTCCAGGAACAGAGCAGTGGGGGGTTCACCGCGTCACACAGGTGACTGCTAGCTGTAGCAGGCCCAGAATTAGGAGAACTCACTCTCCCTGTGATAGGAGTGCACAACCCAGCGCTTTCCTCCCAGACCCCAGACCCCTGTGCACGTCTCCTTAGATTTGGGGGGTATCTAATGCTTCCATTCTTCTTCCCGGCAGCTACCCTGGGGGTCCTAATGCCCCCGCAGGCATGGGCATCCCTCCACATACCAGGCCACCTGCTGACTTCACTCAGCCAGCCGCTGCCGCAGCAGCTGCAGCAGTGGCGGCGGCGGCAGCCACTGCGACAGCCACAGCCACAGCCACGGTGGCAGCGCTGCAAGAGACGCAGAACAAGGATATAAACCAGTATGGCCCGGTAAGGGTCCCCGCCCGTCTGGGTCCAGCTCTGCCCTCTTTGTCAGAGTTAGGGTGTGGGTGCTGGTGGGGGCGAGGGGGCTGGGTATAGCTGAGTTTTCTTGGAAGCAGGTAGGAGTGTATGTCTGTTAGGCTGGGAGGTCAGGGTATGGTGGGGTGCTGTGTTCAGGTGCATTGTAAGTTCAGTCTGTCTGTGCATGGGGAGAAGGTTCTGAATTGTTCTCTGGGTCACCTACTCCCCAGGAATGGGTTCAGCGTCTTAAAATAGCATGGTTTATGGTCATTCACCCATTGGCTTCTGAAAGCCAGCCGACTGCTAGTCACCACATCTGTGGGCTCTCCCAGGCCCCAGCTCTGCACCGAGACCTTCAGAAGGAAGGGGTGGGGTCTGCACGGAGTTTGGAAGGTATGAGAGGAGACAGAGGGACAGGGATGGCAGCCAGGCCACCAGACTGGATAGAGGATGTGTCCCCATTGGCTGAGATTAAGGATGGGGCTGGAGTTTCTAGGAAAGTGCTGCAGCCTCACTCCCTGCCCCACCTCCATTCTCATCACCTCTCCTCCCCTGCCCCCACCTGCTTCCTGGAAATGCTGCCTGTGCATCTTAGTGATCACACCCCATCTCACCTCAACTGTCCCCTCCCACCCCACCCCCCGAAAAAGAAACACCCAGGCTGAAATGTTCCTATGTGGCCTGCAGAGGGCAACAGTGAGCCAAGAGGCCCCCCTGCTCCTGGGCTCCATCAGCAGCTGAGCAGCCAAGAACCACACCACCACCACCACCTTATCCTACCACCTCCCCACCTTCCTTCCCTCCCTACACCTTCAATGCATGTGGCATTTTATTCTTTTTTTTTTTTTCTTCTCCCGTTGAAGGTCTGTTCCTCTTTCCAGATGGGTCCCACCCAGGCGTACAACAGCCAATTCATGAACCAGCCCGGGCCACGGGGGCCTGCCTCCATGGGAGGCAGCATGAACCCTGCCAGCATGGCGGCTGGCATGACGCCCTCAGGGATGAGTGGCCCTCCCATGGGCATGAACCAGCCCCGGCCACCCGGCATCAGCCCCTTTGGCACGCACGGGCAGCGGATGCCCCAACAGACCTACCCAGGCCCCCGGCCCCAGTCCCTCCCCATCCAGAGCATAAAGAGGCCATACCCGGGAGAGGTAAGTATGATACAGGGTGGGCGCGGGGGCAGGCTGGGGGCAGGGCTGAGGATGTAGGGATTGAAGAGACGCGAGGTTCGCCTTAGGGAGGACTTGGATTGACTTTGGGAAACTTGAGCCTGGATCAGTCACAGCTGTTTCTGTATTTGGAGCCGGCTACACTTCAAGTGCACAGAGAGCTTCCCACGGGGCCTCCGTGGCAGCACGTGCCGGGAGGGCTATTGCGGTTAGCTGCCACTGAACTACCCCCGACTCGTGGCCACCAATGCACAGTGGAACACGATGGTGCCACATGGCCCTGCACTGTTTGCCTGGCCGATTGTAGACCGCAGTGTTGTGTCGTGAGGTTTTCCTTGGCTGACACTTAGGAGCAGATCACCAGATCCCCTCCTAGTCTGTCTTGGTGTGGCCCCTCTGCTGAATACCCTTCCTCAGAGTAAGGCGCAGGCCTCCACTGACAGGCAGGTGGTGGCTGCACGGAAGGCGCATTGGCCAGCAGTCAGCCCAGCTGCCCCTCATGGAAGGCCAGAATCCTACTGCTGAACCACAAACGCCTCTTGCAGGGAGTAGCTGCCACCAGTCGTGTGTTGTGTCTTGGCTCAGACGCTAAGTGGGTGGCTCTGAGCTGAGAGCTAAACCTCCTCTCCACCCACAGGAGGCATTTGGGGTTCCCCCGACTTGCGAGAGTGAGAGATGAGCAAGCAAAAGCCCTTTAACAACGGAGAGGCTGTGCCTTCCTAGAAATGTGCTTGGGAGGCGGCAGCAGACGGCCTGTTCCCTGGGGGTTGTATCCAAGTGACACGGCCCATGTTTGGCCTAGCCAGCTCCCCCAGAGTGTTTGGGAAAGTAAAATCCATACCTTCTGCCTGCCAGAACTTTCACAGGAAAGCAAAGGGTTACACAGAGACCCTTAAAAGAAGGGTGCACCATGAGGAGGGCAAATACCACAAGCCCTTCAGGAGTGTTTACAAAGCAAGTTGGCACAAGCAGCCACATGAGTATTGGTGTGAAGATGTAGTGATTCTGGAAGGGAACATGGTGACAATTTTACTACTCTTCTTGATAGGCGAGAATCATGGAATTGTGTGACATGTCGACGAAGCACTGATAAAACTGTTAAAATGGAAAGAAAACATTTAGTTCACCTGCAAAACACACACACACACCAGTTGCCACTGAGTCGGTGGCAGTTCTTGGCCATGTTCGTTCATGTGTGTCAGACTAGAGCTGAGCACCACAGAATCTGCGATGGACCATTTTTCCTAAGTACTGGGCTTTTCTTCTGCAGCTCCTCCAGGTGAACTTGAACTGTCCACCTTTCAATTAGCAAACAAGCCCATGAGCCCTTGCGATAGGCAGGGACCCCCAAATCGTGAGTCAGCACTCTCCCCTCCTGCCCGTTTTTCCCTAGCTCTCTGCTTGGATGCTTGCTGTCAGGACGGCGTACTTCAAGGTCTGTGACCAGCTTTGGTTTAAAGGCCTATGGGATTCACTTCTGGGCCTTCCATAGCAAGGCCTAGAAGGGGACTTGACAGTTGACGTAGGTCTCCTAAGTCTAGAGGGAAAAGAGCGAGGCAGGGTCAAGCTCTGAGCCCTTGACCTGGCCAGCACCATGTCAGGGAGGACATGGGAGGATGGGATTGACCTCGCACCCCAGGACATGGCCACTGCATGGGTCACAGGCCCTCTGTGCTCCGACGCTGGGTGATGTCCCCACGGGTTTGGCTGAGAAGCAAGGAAGGAGAGGCTGCAGCAGGTTTCTGGGCCTTAACCTGACAGGACCCTCCACCCCAGCAGCTGGTGGCACACGGCAGTGCTCAGTGTTTGTGCTGAATTAATCATCCTGTCCATGCAGTACTGCTGAGTGCCTGGTCGCCCGTTGTCGCTCTCCAAGGACAGCAGTCCTGCCCCCTCCCCTGCCGGCTGCATTGGGCCAGCTGATCCTCGCTCAGGGTATTATGGAGACGGTGCCTCCCCATCTGAGCCTCAGAACCCAGGGAAGGGGACTCAGCTTTCTGGATGCTCAGCCTGCTGTCTGCACCCTCCTGTCGAGAGCTCGGTGGGTGCTCTGGTGCAGCTCTGCCTCGGTGCCAAGAGAGACATGTGGGCTGGAGAACTGAGCTCTGGGCAGTAGCAGCGGTTCTGGGGAGCCAGGGTTCTCAGCCCCACCCCGCTGCAGAGGAGGAAGGTGCTTTGTGGATAGGCAGAGTGACTGATGTAGGGCATTTGAGTGAGAGGCTTGACTCAGAAGCATTAATGACCTGTCCCCTGCCCTTCCTTTCTCTACCACTGCAGCCCAACTATGGAAACCAGCAATATGGACCAAGCAGTCAGTTCCCCACCCAGCCAGGCCAGTACCCCACCCCCAACCCTCCACGGCCACTGACTTCCCCCAACTACCCCGGGCAAAGGATGCCAAGCCAGCCAAGCACTGGGCAGTACCCACCCCCCACGGTCAACATGGGGCAGTATTACAAGGTGAGTCCCACCCTGAGGCGCTACACCAAGCTGAGCCTCCACCCGGAGGCCCCTTTTCTTCTCACTCATGTCATTCTGTGCCCTGGTTGTGCTCCCCGAAGACACCAAGAGGTGGGCAGAGGTTTCTGAATGGTCAACGTGTGCTCAGAATTTCCCAGGGCTACCTACCCTCCCAAGGACCACAAATGGAATAGAATTTATAAGCCTTTTATCATAGTTCTGGAAGCCAAAAGTTCAAAGTCATGTGGGGGAGCCACACACTCTGAAGGCTCTTGGGGAAGGTCCTCCCATTCCTCGTTCTAGTTTCTGACTGTGGCTGACAATCCTTGGCATCAGCTGCATGCCTTGAAATAAACTCCTCCAGTCTCTGCCGCCATCGCCGCACAGCATTCTCCCTATGTGTCTGTCTTCATGCAATCCAGCCTTCTTAGAAGGATTTGGGTCCCCTCCTATTGCAGGCACGTGGCCTCGTCTTAACTTGATTACATCTACAAAGACCATGATTTCCAAAGACAGTCACATTTACCCGTATACCTGGGGTTAAGACTTCAAAGGATCTTTTTAGGGGGCATAGCTTAAACCCTAACTGCATAAGTGTAGCCGTGAGACCCAAAGGACAGCTTCTTTCTCTTACTCAAGCTTACAGCACACATTAGATACATATTTTAGGAAAACAAAATACACCCCCTAATTGCATTAATGTTTCATTGAAACTGTCTCTCCGTGCTTGCCCCTGCACTCCATCATCTCACATAGTGGTTACTGGGCTGTATGTTTTCATCTTTTATTTAAGCGTTAAGTTATCATGCTATTCCTGCTACGGAGCCCACTGTCAGCATAGCTGCCTAACATCCATTGGGATAACCGTGGTGCGCTTTCGAGTTCTTGGGTTTTTCACTCCACATCTTAAAACCAGGTGCTGTTGAGTCCTGTCCCACTCCTGGTGACCCGGTGAGTGCGGGCAGAGAACTAACTGTGCTCCCTCCCAGGGTTAGGCTTCAACAGCCAACTTTCAGACATAAGTCTCCAGGCCTTTTCTTCCAAAGATCCTCTGGGTGGACTCAAACCTCAACCTTTCAGTTAGCAGCCAAATGCTCTAACCGTTTTCACCACCCAGGGACTCCAAAGCAAAACCCCAGGGCGCCCAGGTGGCACGGTGTTGAAAGCACTTGACCACCCATGGAAAGGTCAAACCGGTGGCCCCTCCAGGAAAGTGACGTGGCCGTTTGCTTCTGCCCTGTGGGGCAGTTTGATGTCCTAGAGGGCTGCTGTCCATTGGAACACATTGGAACACTCGGAGGCCGAGGCTTTGGTTTGCGGCTGGGAACAGGGAAACACATAAAGCAGCTTTGCTGTTGTCGCTTGGCCATCAGGAAGCTCACCCGTGTTCCCAAGGGAGCAGCGACCTGTCTTCACTGACTCCGCCTCTGGAAGACTGTCTGGCCCTCCCTCGGAGTAAATGTGACTCTGGACACATGGACATTCATTTGCCAAGGAACCGTGTCAGCTTACAGTCCATTCACAAAATGTGGGCTTGCTCTTTTTATTTTTTTTGCCACAACTTCGGCACCCTTAGTTTTTCTACTTTTGTAAGCTGTTTGGCTGATTAGCACACGAGATAAAATACTGCCCCAGTAGAAGGTATGCTCTGCCCCCACCCTCCTGCTTCCCACCCAGCATGAGCAGAGGCTGTAACCCTCGACTCCTGGTGCGTTTTGAAATCAGGGAGAGAACATTTTGAAATCCAGAGACAGAGGTTTTCCAGGAGCCCCTCTGCCTTCCCCTTGTAACATTGTTGTTCGCGTGCTTTCACAGGCAGAACAGTTTAATGGACAAAGTAACACCTTCTCCGGCAGCAGCTACAGCAACTACAGCCAAGGGACTGTGACCAGGGTATGTGCAGATTTTAAGCTGTAAAATTATTACCCACATGCAATCGTTGGACCAGAAGGGTCCTAGGGGTCCCTGCCCTGCCCTATCTGGACATTAATTGGGGTCCACAAATAGAGGCTCTCTCCCTAGTTACCCCGGGATGGATGGGGAAGGACAGGTGTGGACCCACCTAGCCAGAAAGAGGAAGACTGAGGGAGGCTCTGCTGGTCCCCTGGACTCTTCACTCATGTCAGAGGGCTCCACGGGGCTGGGCGGGGTGAGTGGGAGGGTGTGGCTTAGAGTCACATGAGAAGGTATGCAGGAGATCAGGGTTTGATGCTAGCTCGCTTTTTCTTCTTGGGGCATAGGAGACAAGTCCCTCATCACCCCGAACCTCTGTGTACCCATCTATAAAATGGGCAGGGGCTCTATGCCTGCCTGACACCAATGATTCAGCTGTGCTGTGACCCAGATGAAGGAGTCCCACCTGTGTCCCAATGGGGGCAGAGGCCTGAGTGCTGCCCCTATTGTGGTTCGGGGGTGGGGTGGGGGTTGGGGGGGAATGCTTACCCACAGCCATGACTTCCTCCATTCCTCTGACCCCTAATCTTTGTATGGTTCTCTGTTTCTCTTCAGCCTCCCAGGCCAGTCCCTGTGGCAAATTACCCCCACTCACCTGTTCCTGGGAACCCCACACCTCCCATAACCCCCGGGAGCAGCATCCCCCCTTACCTGTCCCCCAGTCAAGATGTTAAACCACCCTTTCCGCCCGACATCAAGCCAAATATGAGTGCTCTGCCGCCACCCCCAGGTGAGTAGTTTGTCTCACCACCCCCAGGCTTCCATGAGGCTATTGGATGGAGGGGGGTTTGCCCTGGGACCAGGAGCCAAGGCACTTAGAGATTGTGGGGGGGCCTACTTTTGAAATGGCAGTAGGCTTAATAGTTGGTATCCCCCACCCAGAGGTGACCCTGGGGCCTGTGAGAATGCAGGCTTGTGGCAGCCAGGCTGCCAACAGCTCCCCCTGCCCCCAACCATCTCCCCTACCCCCGCACCTACCCTACCTGGGGCTAGGCTCTACTGAAATGTAGATTTCTTCACCTGGGTCAGGTGGTCTTAGACATTGTGCCCAAGAGGAAGAGAAGGGAACCCTGGTCTCTCTCTGGCTACAAACTGGCTCAGATATGTTAGTGTCCCGAGTCTCCCCCAAGTCCCTTGGGGGCGGGCTGAGTGGATGCCTGTCGGACCCGAGAGGCCGAGCCAAGTGAGTGGACAGGACACAAGAGTGTCTGAGTGGACTCGGGGTCTCTGGGCACTCAGCTCACGTGCAGGATCTGATACTCCACTTAGCTCTATGTTTTCTGAGCAGCCGGCCAGGGGCCTGGCCACATGCACGAGATCAGGCTTTGGTGCCATGGCTAATGGAACCCCTTCTCTGCACCGCAGCCAACCACAATGATGAGCTGCGGCTCACGTTCCCGGTGCGGGATGGCGTGGTGCTGGAGCCCTTCCGCCTGGAGCACAACCTGGCCGTCAGCAACCATGTTTTTCATCTGCGGCCCACGGTCCACCAGACACTGATGTGGAGGTGAGTGCAAGGGCGACTCCCGCGGGAACCAGTGCAGCCTGCTGTCCTGAGCCGAGCCTGGGAATGTCATGGGAGCCGCAGGCTTGGTGGGAGAGAGATGACCAGTGCAAAGTCTGGCCCAAGGGCAAGGAGCTGGTGGTGTCCTTTGCTGCCAGAGAGAAATGCCAAGAATGGGAGTGCTCCAGCAGTGGCAGCAACGATTCAGGACACTTAGGTGGCTAGCTCCTGTCGGAGCTGTAGTATCAGGGATCAGGCTGGCTGGGAATCAGGGCTCTGTGGGCTGTAAGCGGCTGGCCCTGAGCAGGGCTGGGGCCTCAAATACACAGGCAGCAGGCAGGGGCACAGGGCTCTGGAGGTCCCTTTCTGAGCTGGGTTGTGTTCAGTGCCTTCTTCACTGACAGCTGAGGAGACTGAGGCTCGGTGCGTTCTCACAGCTAGCAAGGGATAGGGCTGGTACGGGGACTGGGTCCATTCAGCCTCAGGGCTTCCTTCTCGGGCAGGATCACCCTGTCTCACCATGCCTGTGAGCGTCTCGAGGGCAAGTAATGGTTCTCAGCCTGCCACACGTGTATGCGTGAACACTCACTCCAGCCCCTCTCCCCCCACTGAGCAGCCTTCCCCAGACAACACAGCTGGTATGGGGCCCGGGACACTCAGGCAAGAGGGTAAAGAGACCCTTAGGCGTGTAAGCAGGCCGTGGGCGTTGGGAGGGCTCGCCCACTCACGTCATCTTTGTTACCGGAAAGTCCTCCTTATTACTCTTGCCCTGAGTCTGGCCTGGTTCCATGAGACATGATCACTGCTGGTCTTACATGGATCTTTCAATCCTTATCCATGCTGTGGCTTTGGGTCACAACCTGGCCTTCATACACTCCCTCTCCCTGTCCCCTAAAATACACTCATGCTCACTGTCCCCCAGCACCTGGCCACAACCACCGCCTGATGAAACGAGGAGCATGAGGGTGGAGGGAGGAAGGTGATGTTGAGGGTTGTCAGTCTCGAGGAGGGGTCCTTCAGCAGGGTGGGATGCCAGCTGAACTCAGGTGTTAGGCAGAACCCCATGCACTAGTTGGGTGGGCATTCCGAGCAGCAGAACCACAGAGATAGGGGGCGGTGGCTGGGATGTGCAGGGGGCAGAGGTCCATGGAGGCGCACCTGGCCCTCTGCTCCCCAGCTCCCCATGCCTGGGCTGGGCTGGGGCCCAGGTGGCCCTGGTGCATTGCTCATCCATCCTGAGGGGGATGAGCATCCCACTCTGCGCCTGTCCCTGCTCTGCTACCTGAACAGCCACCACTTCCAAGGTCTCTGTGCTCTGTGGGGCCAATCTTCAAAGCCCAGCCCAGGATGAGTACCCCATCTGTCAGATACAGAGAAGCTGCACACACCCCTTCACCTCCCCATACACACACACACACACACACACACACAC